AGACTCATCTCTACAATAAATCAAAAAACTAGCTGGGTGTGGTAGTGCACGCCTGTAGTTCCAGCTACTTGGAAGGCTGAGGCAGAAGGATCGCCGGAGGCCAGCAGGTTGAGGCTGCGGTGGCCGGGAGTGTGCCACTGCACTCCAGTCTGGGGTGACAGAGTGAGACTTCAACTCAAAAAAGAAAAGTAAAGTAATAAAGTTGATCAATGAATAGAGGCTTACTAAACAGAAGGAGACAAGTCTAGAAAAAAGGCAAGAAGAAAGGGAGAGCTAAGAGGTAAAAACATACTTTTGAGACAGACTCTAAGATATTTCCATTTCTATTTTTTCCCATTTTGTTACTAACAAGAATTTAAAATGCTTTTGTTTGGTGATGGTGGTGGTGAGGTTGTGGTATAAAACCAAATAGTAAGTAAAACCTTCATGGTTAACAACATACTCACATTACGTTCACGACGTTACAGAGGTCAGGAAGGACAATTGACAGTCCTGAGGCTCTAAGTCTAATGTTTGCCACTGGAGAGAGCAGAGGATGTTTGTGGGTATGTATGCAGGCCAAGAAGGAAGCTTTTGCAGTAAATCTGAAGGGCAGAAGGTAAGTGCAGACATAAGAGAGTTTCAAACAGGGCTGTTTAGGTGGGGTAGATGGTAGACAAAGGTGATGACAGGCTGTGTCTCACATAGGAGTGCTTTATGGCTTAAAAGTGTGTTTTGAGAGGCATTGGAAGGTTAAAAAAAAGATTTCAAGGCTCACCTCTTGCTAAGGACAGAGTTATTATGAACTAGAAGGAGTCAAGAGCAGTGGCGATGAGAAGACAGGAAGTGAATGACATGTTTCCTGGTCCTGCTTTAGGGTTCTCTAAAGTTAAGAGATGTTGGCCAGGCTTTATATTCAATATGGTATACATTTAATTTAATCTTCAAAGCTATTTTATGAGGAAGGTATTCTTTTTTTTTTTTTTGAGTTGGAGTCTCATTCTGTCACCCAAACTGGAGTGCAGTGGCCG